CTATCTATCTAGATAGATAGATAGATAGATAGATAGATAGATAGATAGATAGATAGATAGATAGATAGATAATGAATACACTGAAATAGATAGATAGATAGATAGATAGATAGATAGATAGATAATTAATAGACTGAGGTAGGTAGGTACGTTGATAGATAGATAGATAGATAGAGAGAGAGAGAGAGAGAGAGAGAGGGAGATAAATAGATAATTAATAGACTGAGGTAGGTACGTTGATAGATAGATAGATAGATAGATAGATAGATAGATTAAAATATCTATCTATCTAGGTAGCTAGATATATAGAGAAATAAATAACTAATAGACTGAAATATATGTATATATATATATATATATATATATATATATATATATATATATATATATAGAGAGAGAGAGAGAGAGAGAGATATTTGTGTGCGCGTGCGTTTGTGTTTTAGCGTGAAATTTTAAAAGAAGAATTCTTTTTTAACAGAGTAGGAAATCGGCAGGCTCCATTGTTTCGAGCATTTATTTGTCTCTCCTTTTTCAACCTCGCTCTTTTTTTTTTGTCAGTGTACCCATTATTGTTCTGTGTTTAAAATTTTGAATTCCATTCTTCCAGGAAATTCGCGTTCAGATTACAAGTTAGTTTGATCCCAGTCGGTGAAGATTTCTTCGCATGCATTTTAACTTTTCAAAAGCCCTTTCATGAAACTTTGCTCGGAAGAATAATGATTGCCGTCGAGGCGTTCAAAACATGCAACTTGCTTACGTCATTGGGGCATAGAATTGTGGCGAAATTCGGTTTCTGTTGACGAAGGAGAGCGACGGATTTGGTGCGGGTGAAGCGATTGTGGAAGGAAAAAGGAAGACAATGAAAAGAAGGGGAATGAATATGAAAAATAAAGAGAGAGAGAGAGAGTGGGTGAGTGAAAATAATACTCAAGCAGCAGAGAAGAGAAAAATGCTGAAGAAAAGGATGTGTGAATAAGACGGTTGGGTTCATAGTGAAAAAGAAACTCGAATCAGAAAGAAGAAGAAAAAGAAGAAGAAGAAGAAGAAACTCGAAGCAGAAAGAAAAAAAATAAGAAGAAAAAGAAAAAGAAGAAAATCAAAGAAGAAGAAGAAACTCGAAACAGAAAGAAGAAGAAGAAGAAAATCGAAGAAGAAGAAGAAAATCGAAGTAGAAAGAAGAAAAAGATGAAGAAAATTGAAGGAGAAACACGAAGCAAAAAGAAGAAAAAACTCGAAGAAGAAAGAAGAAAAAGAAGAAGAAAAAGAAGAAAAAGAATAAAATCAAAGAAGAAGAAGAAACTCGAAGAAGAAGAAGAAAATCGAAGAAGAAGAAGAAAATCGAAGAAGAAGAAGAAAATCGAAGTAGAAAGAAGAAAAAGATGAAGAAAATCGCAGGAGAAACTTGAAGCAGAAAGAAGAAAAAACTCGAAGCAGAAAGAAGAAGAAGAAGAAGAAAAAGAAGAAAATCAAAGAAGAAACTCGAACCAGAAAGAAGAAGAAGAAGAAAATCGAAGAAGAAGAAGAAGAAGAATAAAATCAAAGAAGAAGAAGAAACTCGAAGTAGAAAGAAGAAGAAGAAGAAAATCGAAGAAGAAGAAGAAACTCGAAGTAGAAAGAAGAAAAAGAAGAAGAAAATCGAAGGAGAAACTCGAAGAAGAAGAAGAAGAAGAAGAAGAAGAAGAAGAAGAAGAAGAAGAAGAAGAAGAAAAAGAAAACAAAGAAGGAAATCGAAGAAAGAAGAAGAAGGAGAAGAACATCGAAGCAGAAAAAAAAGAAGAATCATTCGATGAATGTTATGAATCTTGTTTTTAATGACTTCAAGTTGTTTAAGGTCTGCTAGTACTTTCAGCTGTACATACAGCAATCCTCAGGCATGGAAATTAATTCAACCTTAGCGTTGCGACTTCACACTCCAAAATTTCTTATCCGTTAACAATAACACATTTCTAAAAAAAAACATTTTTCGATTCGCATTTAATCTTTCGTGTCCCCCTACTACCTGGATTTAGTAAAAAAACAAATTAATTTCCATGTCTGAAGATGGCTGTATGTGCAGCCGAAAGTACTAGCAGAATAAAAAAAAATGACCTTATACAACTTGAAGTTATTAAAAACAACGATCATGACATTCATCGAGTGGTACGTAGGTTAATGCAACTTTAATAAATTTATTTCCGAAGATGTTTTTGCCATTTATATCATTAACTTTACTAATCTAATTTTTGTATGAATGATTCGTGTAATATATATATACATATATATACATATATATATATATATATATATATATATATATATATATATAGAGAGAGAGAGAGAGAGAGAGAGAGAGAGATAAAGAAAGAAAAGAAGAAAGAAATAGACATAGATAGATAGATAGATAGATAGATAGATAGATAATGAATCGACTGATGTAGATAGATAGATAGATAGATAGATAGATAGATAGATAGATAGGACTGTCAGTCAGTCAGATAGATAGATAGATAGATAGATAGATAGATAGATAGATAGATAGATAGATAGATAATGAATCGACTGAGATAGATAGATAGATAGATAGATAGATAGATAGATAGATAGATAGATAGATAGATAGGACGGTCAGTCAGATAGATAGATAGATAGATAGATATATAGATAGATAGATAGGACTGTCAGTCAGTCAGATAGATAGATAGATAGATAGATAGATAGATAATGAATCGACTGAGATAGATAGATAGATAGATAGATAGATAGATAGATAGATAGATAGATAGATAGATAGATAGATGGGACTGTCAGTCAGATAGATAGATAGATAGATAGATAGATAGATAATGAAGACTGAGATAGATAGATAGATAGATAGATAGATAGATAGATAGATAGATAGATAGATAGATAGATAATGAATCGACTGAGGTAGGTAGATAGGTAGACCTGTAGATAGATATATAGATAGAAGGACTGTCAGTCAGTCAGATAGATAGATAGATAGATAGATAGATAGATAGATAGATAGATATGAGAAAATGAGACAGGGGAACTGAGAAGGAAAAAAGTCTATTGAAAAAAAAAAGCGGTTAGCCTTTATAAATGGCGTGCTAGACTTCTGTTCTCTTGAAGAGACAAAGAAATGAATAGAACACAATAGCAAATTTGAAAAAGATGAAACCATTGAAAGGGGTTAGATAGAGAGTCAGCTGAGGAAACGCAGGCGTCGTTTCAACGTTCTGGGGTAACAATGGCTCCCTCGCCACACACACGAAATAAATAAAATAAAAAATGGGGACTGAAATGATGCTTTAGAAAGAAACCTTAAAAGAATATCGAAGTCGGTTTTAACAACAACGGAAGAAAAATATATTATTGGATTTCTCAATTGAATGTACAAAATGAACAAGGATAAACGGTATGCCTATGCGAGAGAGAGAGAGAGAGAGAGAGAAGAGAGAGAGAGAGAGAAGAGAGAGAGGGGGTTCCAGAGAGAGAGAGAGAGAGAAGGTGGTTACAAATGGGGAGAGAGAAGTGGATATAAGGAGATAATGAGACGGACAGAGAGAAGGTACGTGGAAGATCGAAAATATGAATAAGACAATCAGAAATCCGGCTCAATCAGAAATCCGGCTCAATCAGAAATCCGGCTCAATCAGAAATTCGACTCAATCAGAAATTCGACTCAATCAGAAATCCAGCTCTCTTAACCGCAAGAGCCATGTCAGATTCCTCGTTGCACGGACATTGTTAATAGTGTTTGATGGCGTTAGTTTCTTTTGGTTTATTTGTTTTTTTAATCGATATCACGCCCATGCAAGGCACTAAAGCCACTAAGACACAAGCGGTTAAAGCGCGTGGAAGAATTAGGAACAGAAATATTAATAATGAGCCGGATTGGAAAAGTGTAATCAGGAGGACAGTAGATAGCTATTGACATTTCATTTAAATGTTTGTAGATCAAATCTGGCTGGAAAGCCTGGGGCCAGAAAAGAGTTCCCCAAACGAAAAGTGCGAGAAACGTAACTATAGAATTTTGGTGACATCTCGTCAGCTAATCTGTGAATGATGAGATCTCGAAGCCAGTCTAGTACTGCGTTTAAATTCAAAAAGTTTAGCTCACATATCAAAGAACGAACGGCTTTCATCTCCAAGAAGAATGCTTTTAAATCACTGATGATTGATTAGGGTCAAGCTTTTGCAAGTTATTTAAAGCCATGGAATATTTTTAGATTGTACGGGTTTTTAAAATTTAATAATGATTTACTGATACAAATATTACTAATTAACCCATAACTTGGGGTGGATACCCACCTTTCCCAAGGGTATTTGCGCGTAACTGGAATTGAAACTCGGGTCTACGATTAACAATTCCGAGTCAATATTATTATTGTTACACCACCCACACCTCTAAGTTTACAACAGCTGGTATTTCCAAGCGGTTACCCATCTAGGTAGTGACCAGGCTTGACGTTGCTATTTCGGTTATCATACGGGAACCGATGTTCCAATGTGATATGACCGTAAGCCTTATTGTCTGATGAGATTTCTTCATAATACATAGACCAGTAGACACTTGAAATTCAGTATTAGGGATGAAAATTATCTATCCTACCTATCCTCATAATATACACCGCTTTCTACCGACTTGTACGTTCTTCCACAACTTCATTTAGCAATCCCTGAACAGGAGTGGCTCTTTTGCCTTGAGTTATTTGAACAATAATAGTAAAAGTTTAAAATTCATCTTCACCCCGATGATACGTTTCACATGATTTTCATCCATTCTATCTATCTATCTATCTATCTATCTATGCCTATTCTTATCTCTCTCAGCCTATTCATATCTATCTATCTATCTATCTATCTATCTATCTATCTATCTATCTATCTATCTATGCCTATTCATATCTCTCTCAGTCTATTTATATCTATCTATCTATCTATCTATCTATCTATCTATCTATCTATCTATCTATGCCTATTTATATCTCTCTCAGTCTATTCATATCTATCTATCTATCTATCTATCTATCTATCTATGCCTATTCATATCTCTCTCAGCCTATTCATATCTATCTATCTATCTATCTATCTATGCCTATTCATGTCTCTCTCAGTCTATTCATATCTATCTATCTATCTATCTATGCCTATTCATATCTCTCTCAGTCTATTCATATCTATCTATCTATATATCTATCTATCTATCTATGGCTATTCATATCTCTCTCAGTCTATTCATATCTATCTATCTATCTATCTATCTATCTATCTATGTCTATTCATATCTCTCTCGGTCTATCTATCTATCTATCTATCTATCTATCTATCTATCTATCTATGCCTATTCATATCTATCTCATTCTAAAATGAACGTTATGATAGAGAGGAATAAAGAAAGAACGACATAGCAGGAAGAAAGAATGAAAGAAAGAAGGACACAATAAAAAAAAGGAAGAAAGATTATAACAGAAAGCCAAAAATGAAAAAAATAAATAAAGAAAGAATAATAGAAAGAAAGAAAGAATGACATAATAGAAAGAAAGAAAGAAAGAAAGAAAGAAAGAAAGAAAAAAAAAAGAATGGCATAATGCAAAAAAAAAAACGACATAATTATAAATCATAAGATTTAATGAAAGAAAGAAAAAATGAAAATATATACAAAGTATGTGGAATAATAAAAAAGGAAAATAAAGAGCGAGAAACGATGTTATTCACGCAAAGGAATGAAGAAGAAGGAAAAAAGAAAGAAATATAACAAGTGCAAAAGAGAAAGAAAATTCTTCGAAGTTCAAGAACAGCTTGAAAAGGGTCAATATTGGTAAAAAAAAACAGGATGGTTTGGGAGATGAGGAAAAAAGCAAAAGAAATAAAAGAAAAAAAAGAAAAAAAAATTAAATAAACGAAGAAAAGTAGTGTGGCAGGTCAGGGATGATGGATAGAAAGCATGTTATAATCTCATTATTGATCTGCTCATAATCCAATCGATCGAAAACGATTCGCGGAAATAAATATCACAGATTAGCATTGATCCCACCCTTATTAAAAAGAAAAAAAAAGAAAGAAAAAAGAACGCGTTATTTTTCACATTTGAGCAAATTTTTGTTTTAATTTTCGCTTCCTTTGCTCCCCACAGACGCTGTCAAACGAATAGCAACTAACAGGTGAACACCAACCAGTCGGAAGGCAAACTCCGATGGGCAGTCAATAACGCTTATATAATAGGCTTGGTAAGGTCATCCAACGTTGTCCAGGTTTACAAACGAGGCCCTGAATCATTAAAAAAAATGTTCTCTTCACATCTGATTTTAACGTATAATTATAAGACATTTTTTTAAAGTTTAAACGTTCAATAGATACAAATATTTAAGTAAATGCTTTGTTTATAATAAACAGCATTAACAACATTTACCGGCCTGAAAGTCCGAAAAATTTACATAAAAAATATGCGTCCTCTGACAGGAATCGAACCTGTAGGAAACCGTCATATAGTCTGACATGCTTTACCGATTTCGCCACAGAGGAGCGTTTGGGTTAGCACGGTCGATTTTACTGTTTTTAAACTACATGATTTTCTCTCGTATATTCATATCTGCTCGATGCGTATCCAAATGTAAACAAATGACGTCACACATTCTGAAATGGACAAAGTCCAACAATGATTTAAAGACATTATACGTATAAACATAAAAACTGTCTTAAAATAATTGTCGTGTTGAATCTTGAATATACAGCAGTATTAACAACATTTACCGGCCTGAAAGTCCGAGAAATTTACATAGAAAATATGCGTCTTCTGACAGGAATCAAACCTGTAGCCTATACGGAACCGTCATATAGCCTGACGTACTTTTACCGATTTAGCCACAGAAGACTGTTTCGGTTAGCAAAGTCTATTTTACTGCTTTTAAGCTACAATTCTCATATAGCCATCGCTAAATACATTTCGTATGATTATTATAATTTTAAATAGTATTAGGTTGGTGCATAATTATCAGGCGTTTTTTAAACAATATTTATTATGAAAAAAGAAACGTAACAATACGACAATAACATTTTTAAATATTTATTCTGGAGCGTATGTTTATCGTCAAGCATTTTTATAACCTGAAAATAAAATATTTTTATTAAAAAAAATTAAACAAAACAGCAATTTTTATTAACAAATGACACGCCAAGAAAAACGCCTGATAATTATGCACCAACCCAATATAAGAGGTTGAAGCGTTTATTATAATAATCAACGAATTTCTAACAGTATGCCGTGTGTGCATAGTAAAATTACGGATAGAAAATTTTTTTAAAATTACTAAAAAATGCATTAGCCTACTTATTAGTGTTTCTCGCGAAACACCTAGTGACACCTTAGGTTTACGGAAAAAAAAAAAAAACGGATGAGAAACAGTGCATGAGAATGTTATTCGAATGTTTATCACCAGGACAACTCCATGTAAGTTTTATGCAGGGTAGGAAATGAAGATAGTGGCAAAATGAAGTTTAGAAAAAAGATATCTTTTTGAAAATATACAGAAATGTGCAGGCATCTCATCTATCTATCTATCTATCTATCTATCTATCTATCTATCTATCTATCTATCTCACCCAGTCTCTTCAAATCTATCTACCTATATATCTATCTCGATCTTTTCATTATCTATCTATCTATCTATCTATGTAGACATGGATTTCTAGCTGGATTCTATCCTCTTTGGAATTTATATATATATATATATATATATATCGATCTTTTCATTATCTGTCTAGCTATATATCCCAGTCTCTTCATATCTATCTATCTATCTATCTATCTATCTATATATCTATCTATCTATCTATCTAGACATTGAGTTCTAGCTGGATTCTATCCTCTTGAGAATTTTATATATATATATATATATATGTATATATCGATCTTTTCATTATCTGTCTAGCTATATATCCCAGTCTCTTCATATCTATCTATCTATCTATCTATCTATCTATCTATCTATCTGTGTCTATTTATGTATATCTATCTATCTATCTATCTATCTATCTATCTATCTATCTATCTAATGTATATTTCTTTTTTTTCTATATATATATATATATATATATATATATATATATATATGAAAGAAAAAAATACAGAAAAAACAAAATTCTGAATATGCATTATTAATGTTAAAATAAAGTCGACGTCGGACGTTTCGGTCTATTTAAGACCATCTTCATGGACATTTTCATTTAAACATAATTAACATTATAACTTATAACAATTTAACACAAAAGACGATGGACATAAGAACCCAACTAATTCAGACAGATAACTGAAATTTTATACAGATCAGCGTTCTGTTTAAATATGATCACGTAGTCGTCACGTGGGCGATGTTGTTAAGACGTATTCGAAGATGATTTCCAAAAATTAAAATATCAAAAAGTCGATTGAAAAATTTTATAAAAAGTCAAAGAAATCTCTTCCGTTGATGTTGGAATACGTAGTGAAACAATTGGCTCTCACATCCTCAACAAGCTTGAAAGTCCTTCCCGTTACAATGCAAATCCAAAAATGATTTCAAAAACGATGCAACAGTTCTAAAAAACTTATGTTTAAATGAAAATGTTCATGAAGATGGTCTTAAATAGACCGAAACGTCCGACGTCGACTTTATTTTAACATTAATAATGCATATTCAGAATTTTGTTTTTTCTGTATTTTTCTTTCATACTGTCGGATTTATATCCATATATTTGCTTACATATATATATACATATATATATATATATATATATATATATATATATATATATAAACATATATATATATATACTTTTCTTTCTTTTTTCTCTCTTTTATTTCTCTTTTTTTCTTTATCTATCTATCTATCTATCTCTCCTAGTCTCTTCGTATTTATCTGTTTCATCACTCTGTCATTTCCTCAGCCTGTTCAGATCTATCTATCTCTCTATCTATCTAATGTTAGGGCCCGTAGAAGCAACGCACTCCCCTTATTGGAATTATCTAATTAAATTTTATTAGCAAATTGAACATTTCTATTTTCATGCAATTCCCACCATCAAAACTTTCTGCCATCTTCTCATAATAGAATCCCAGAAAAACAGCCTTTTATGGCCTTGGATATGAATCTCAGTGGAAAGACGTCTTCTGATCGAAATGATGATTAGACCGCTATGTAAGTAAAGGGCGATGTGTGTGCGGGGGAGGTGGGTGGAGGCCTTTGTGTTTCTGATTACGGTGACATCATTTTATTCCGACGATAATGACATGATTGTAACGAAAAATACAAGTTGCTATAAAAAAGAAACATCAAAGTAATGACTCAAGAAATACACCATAAGGTTGTCAGTGTTCAAGATTATAAATAAAAGAAATTATGTTCAAGAAGATATCGATTAATCTTCAAGGAGTTCGATGGACTGCCTCAGTAACGATTTTTTCAGCCTCACTTTCTTTTCATTTATATATATATGGATTTTGCATATGTATAATGTGTGTGTGTGTTTCTGTGTGTCTATATATGATTGGTAACAGTGTGCATGTACTCTCTCTCTCTCTTTCTCTCTCTCTCTCTCTCTCTCTCTCTCTCTCTCTATATATATATATATATATATATATATATATATATATATATATATATGCTGGTGACTGGCTGTCGGTTCCTTGAACTGAGCTGCTTAACCCTCATACGTCGATTACGACGGGAGAGTCCACACACACACACACACACACACACACACACACACACACACATATATATATATATATATATATATATATATATATATATATATATATATATATATAATGCCCAAACACTAATATTCCATGGTTATAATATATTACATTGTAATCGTAATCATCCAATACATCATTCGTACAATTTCAAAAAACAAATCAGAAAATATTTGATAGCGATTACGATTCCAATGTAATAAATGGAATATTAGTGTTTGAGCTTTTTATATTATATTCTTACTCTGTCCTGGACATTGAGTTCTACCTGGATTCTATCCTTGGGAATTTTTTATATATATATATATATATATATATATATATATATATATATATATATATTGACCAGTAATATTATCTATCTATCTATCTATAGTGAATGCAACAAATCCATAGGTATATAATCCAAATGGATACGAATAAGATAAAATATTAAAACTGATCCATAAAATGAGCCTATTATATTTATTATTACAGAGCAAATAATTAGTACACACTAAAATCCCATATTACCTCACATGGGGAAGAGGTTTATTTCAACCGAGAAAAATCACCAACTCAGTCTATACTTTGTTAAAAAGACTGACGTCAGTTGAAATAAATCTATCCCCATGTGAGGTAATTATTAATTTTATTGTGTACCTACTATATATATATATATATATATATATATATATATATATATATATATATATAATATGTGATTATATGATTATAAAATACTGTTTTAAACTTACGGGCTCCGTCACACCTAAACAAGGACAAAATTTCATTCAAAAAAATCTGTTCGAGAATCCTTCGTTTTTGATTTATTAGGTTTAAAGTTTACGGTAGACGTTGTTAAATGTACAATCCACGATACAATCCCAGAATACTTATTACCATAGTTTGTGGTGCCGCCGATTCTGACTCAGCAACACAGCAGAAAAGCTTGAATGACTCGGATGGTTTTGATCTGGAAACGCAATCTTATACGGTTTTGCATGAGCGTCTAGTTAGGCAATGTAGGCAGTGCCTACCCTGGATAAAATCGATCAGCAGCTACATTTCCATGCACCTAATCCAACAAAATTATGAAGGTTACTCAGATTATTATGCATAAAATGCAAAATATTTTATTTTGTTTGTAGATTTACTACATAAAGGTCTAAGCTGCCTAGCCTGAGTAATATATATATATATATATATATATATATATATATGTGTGTGTGTGTGTGTGTGTGTGTGTGTGTGTGTGTGTGTGTGTGTGTAAAATATATAGAAAATGGGAAAGAACTCGTTAGGTAAATAATCCAAAAGTTCTTTAGTATTTTTGTTATTATTTTTAAAAATAGTGCTCGATACAAAAGTAGAGCATAAATATAATTATTTATTTAAAAATATGATTCCATCGCTACATAAGAGTTCTCATGTTTCAAAACAAGAGCTGAAGACTTCAATATAATTATTTGAATTAAATTGAATTAAAGTACCAAGCTCTGTTCCATCTTCAAGTAAAGTTTTTTTTTTTTTTGAATAACTTATTCCTGAAATTTACGCGTTTTATAAGCATATTCATTATTGAAATTAAAATTACTATGGTAACGGATAGAGCAATTGTTTAAAGAAAAGGGCGTATACACACACACACACACACACACGCACACACACACACACACACACACACACACACACACACACACACACACACACACACACACACACACACACACATATATATATATATATATATATATATATATATATATATATATATATATATAACCGTGTATTGAACTCATAATCTTTGTCAGTGGAGAACTTGGAGAGGGGAATTAACAGGAGATAACTGACAAATGACATCCATTAAAAAACTGGTACGTTGAATTAGAACAGTCTATCTCGGTGAGCGAAATAAAGGGTTCAGTCCCACATTCCAACCATCTGAAGAAAGCCGGAGCGTACAACGACCGAAACTTTGTAATAAAATGGCGACAACGATTAGGAAAATAGTCCGAATAATGTAAATAGTGTACATAATACCTCATCTAAGAAATATATATATATATATATATATATATATATATATATATATATATATACATATATATATATTGGTGCGCGTTTCTAGGGTTATTATCGCGTTTGTTTGGTGGGGAGTATAGGGGCATGTCCGAGTGATTAAATCATTCATTTACTAGCACGAAATCACAAGTCATCGTGACTGAGTGTGTTTATCCCAGTCTAGGTACCATGAATGCATTTATAAAAAAGAAAGACCTTAAGAAGCTACATTAAAACAGTAGGAATGTGACTGAACCCAAGATGCTAGGTCAGGATCAATAATATTGCAGATTCTTGTTTTGGATTTTCTCAAGGATCTTTAAATATATAGCAGGAGCCTCAGACCATATGTGTCAGCAATATTCTAAGCATGGACGAATGTAGACATATAGATATGTCAGATAGGTACTTTCGGGAAAAATTGTCCAGTGCGACACAATTTTCTAATTATAATTAATGTTATACTTTGGCTTTTCTCTGAAACAGCATTGGTCATAACAAAATCACAATCATCTTACCGCCATTTAAATAAAGATATTAGCCAAAAATATAGTTTTATATTTATCTCCCTTTAAGCCCAAATTTAACCTATAACCTAAGCATAATGAATCTCATTATCGTAAGATACATTATGAGATCGACCCCAAAACTGATTCATCTTATCATTACTAATAAGGCTAGCCTTTTGAAAATCACCATGAAATAATTAAAGTCCTATGTTGAACGAACAACTACCACCCAATCTCGTAGGATAACCTAGTATTTGTTTGATCATCAACTTTAAAGAGCTGTGAAATTAGTTTCTTTGACATTATTTTACGGTGATGTGAATTTTATTAGTTAGTCTATAAGCATAACTTGGTTTAGCACAACTTAAAAGTATGAGGCACTCCGTGCGGTTCAAGCTCTTCACAGGAGTGCTGATGTACGAGGCTAACATAGTAACAACTGTTTATCTATTTACTAATCATAGCTTAGAAAGGCTAAAGGTCATGATTAGAGGTCACATAGAGAAGACCTTACTTTTTATATTAGATAACAGTTGGTCTTTACGACCCCATGGGGATAGCCCTCATTGCTGCCATATCTGAGCTGGAGTTACCAAGGCTTCACTAGCTTGTCTTAAGAGAGTTTAAAAGCGTCTACGCGGATTTGTAAGAGATTAATTATTTTCCATCCTTTCCCACAGACGAGAACGTCCTGAGCGTCTCTCTAATCTACCGCGATTTCTATAGCATGTAGTCTGGAGGTAAACATTCCTTAGTCGTGCCAAATCCTGACCTTTATGACTGGGACCTACCATGTTACGTGTACAAGAGTGAATCATCCCCATTCCCTTCGGATTTCCATTAGTAAAGAGGAAGATCCTTTCAGACAGCTTCTTCTCAAGAACAGTTGCTTTGTGTAACAGACTAAACTTTTCATTTCTTCAAGTCAATGTTAACCGTTTCCCTTCCTGTATAGCTCCATGAAATTCACTTCTTGGCCTTTCTTGCACTCATAGAAAACCACACGGTAAGCGTCTACTTTGAGTGACTCTTAGGGCTTTTATTGCGTTGATATTAGTATAATATAGATATTCAAATGGTATCAGTCAAAAAACAAAATCTCAGACAATGAAAACCTCTGGGATTATTATAATACGCCGTGAAAGCCCATTCCTGTTTCATAATCGCCTGCGGTTCTGGATGTGGATGTTGAATAGGGCGAAGACTGCGCATGCGTATCGTAGTTTGTGACGATAAGTGTACGAGAGGGAAAAGTAGATGGTGGTTAGTTGAAACACTGAAATATGAAATAATCAATGGACGCATATGGTGCGTTGGAAAAATTATACCGTATCGAAATTTGATACGCACGCCCTTCAAGGCTGAGCGTTGTGGGTAGGGAATCAATTTTTAGCAAGGTATTCATCGGAATTTGATTATATAACTAATCATACACACGCACTTAGATAGATAGATAGATAGATAGATAGATAGATAGATAGATAGATAGATAGAAAGCACGTTATGATAGATAGATAGATAGATAGATAGAAAGCACGTTATGAAAGATAGATAGATAGATAGATAGATAGATAGATAGATAGATAGATAGATAGATAGAAAATCTCTGTTATATATTTTTCTTCTGTCTTTTCCCCGCAAGAAAAACGGAATGGTTCATTATATATCTGAGGCAATGGTAGAGTTTAACGCACGCCCTAACTCACTAACAGAAGTGCAAGCACAGTTGCAATATGAAATTTGTTTAGTAGCAGTTTCAAAAGTAAAACTGAAAAAAAAAATAACGTAGATTACGAAAGCCAAACAATAGGACTAGAAACGGATTTTACAAGGTCAGGGCGTATGATTATGATCAAAATGGTCAACAACTTCTGATACCTTCATCTTGTACCCGGTCCTTCTCTTTGCCCTCTCTCTAAACAACGCCTCTTTACTCTTACTCTCAATCCTCTGTAACACCTTACGTGCTAGTGGCACTCCCGCCTTGCTTGGGGTGTAATGCTTAAAAAAATTATATGAATTACACTGGAAGGGTAAAATCGACCAGTGTAAAATACTAATCTAATATTAGAAATCTGAAGGCGGAAAGTGAAGAAAAATATATATAAAAAAAGCAAAGAACTGCGGAAATGAACGGTTTTATTCTTTGACTTGAACTTCTATTGAAGCTCAAGCGCCATCTAGATCTCAATTTAAATTATATACGATCCGCCGCTAAAGATACTGTTAAAATTCTGGGTTCTTTGTAACTCGACTCCTCCTGCTATGATCTAACTTCATAAGAGTCAGATCAGACAAAAAAAAAATGAAGTATTGCTGAGCAGGAGCTACCGATTCCAGCTATGGCATAGATCAAGAGGGTTTACACAGCCCATCGGAATATTTGCCATAAAAATAGCGATAGATCGCCGAGAGGTTATCAAGGTTTCGTATATGCCATAGAGGTGAAGAGTTGAAAATATTTCACTATTTGCATTATTCGTAGTATTGTCCTCATCTTTGTCGCAATATTTATTACAACGTTTGCCTTATGAGCTCTGGTAAAAACATAAACTGATAACAATTGAAATATAAGCAATGGTAAAAAAAAATGCCGAGAAATTAGGTTTATAATACCCAAAAATACATATAAAGATGTCCTCAAGGACACATGTCACAGTGGATAAAGGCGTTGGTTAGATCCAGTGACAGGACCCAAAGAGTGTGAATTCAATACCCGGTTAAGGGTATTGATAACTGACATCCATTAACATGACATGTGGATCTAGAAGAGTCTACCCCAGTGAGCGAAATAAAGGGTTCAGTTCGACATTCCATGGCAACAAATATGGCGACAAAGATGAGAACAATGTAAATAGTGTACATAATGCCTCATCTCAGAAATATAGACAGATACTGAAGGCCAAAAACCTTGTAATAAATATGGCGGCAAAAAGATGAGGACAATAGTCCGAATAATTTAAAAGTGTACATAATACCTCATCTCAAAATATAGACATATATTGAAAGGCCGAAACGTTGTAATAAATATGGCGATAAAGATGAGGACAATAGTCCGAATAATGCAAATAGTGTACATAATACCTCATCTCAGAATTATAGACAGATACTGAAAGGCCGAAACGTTGTAATAAATATGGCGACAAAGATGAGGACATTAGTCCGAATATTGCAAATAGTGTATATAATACCTCATCTCATTAATATAGATAGATACTGAAAATATTTCATTTTCAAACCCACAGACTAAAGGGAACTATCGCTACTCTCTCGCTATTTTCATGACAGTATTCCCAATCTTAAATTCTGTTTCCAACAGACGAAAGGTTGCTAGCCTATCGCTAATCTATCTTTATTGTCATGTTCCAACGGGCTACATACCTTGGTTCCACCACTGCAGATATTAACAGCCATGCCACATACTCATGGTCGAATCTTTCTCATTCTATCATATTCCGTTAGTAAGGAGGAAGTTTCGCTCAGACAATTTCTTCCCCAGAACTGTTATTTTGTGGATCGAACTCAAAAAAGCGTGCTTTCCTAACCCTGGCTACGAGCTTAACCTATTCAAAACTAGGTTCAGCCGTTAACTTTCCTTCACATGCGCATAATATGCACTTCTTAGTTTTCCCTTTTACACAAATGTTGTAACCTAGAACAGGTTACTGAATGAGAAATAACCAAAACGGAGGTTGTAAATGAAATGGTAATCTTTATAATATCAACAAAATACAATACTCGCCAGTGGCGTGAAGTAAGTAATCCACAGCTAATGGTGGACTACTTAAACAGCATATTATTACTATTGGTACGGTATAAAAAACACTTCAAATCTGAATTCAGTAGACCGCTACCCTCAGAGGTTCTTGGGGCTAGTATAAAACAACAATAGTACAAAAATTTAATTAAAACGAACATCTAGTGACTCATTACTGTGGCCATGTGCCACACTAAGATTGTGGCCAGGAAGATGCCCTTGCTTTTCGCTATTTTAATTCAGTATACGAATTCCCACTACCATGGCCTTATGCCAGACTAAGTAACACTTCATATATCGTTAGTATACTTTTAATAGCGCGATGGTTCTAGGGATCAATTTCCTATTTCCTTTAATTCGATCCTCTCGGGTGTCACAATATTTAGCCTTGTGCCAGATTTTAAAAAAGCTTCATATGTAACTCTACAATATGAAATCAAAGAGAACTGACGTCATTAAAAAAAATAATTTTCCATTAACTCACGTATTGCACGAATTTGAAACGGCTGTCACTTTTGGGAATTGTAATTAAAAAGCATTCATAATCTTGTATTACGCTAACGTCTGCTTTGATCATTTTAAAAGCGCCATTTTCCTTCTGATTTTCCCGCCTTGTCAAGATGGCAGTATTAACGATTTAAATTTAAAAGCCAAGTCTGAAATTGCTAATTTTCGTGTCTGACTGGCCATCTTCACGCAGAAATATGACGCAAAACAATCTTACTTTTTCCTCTACAATTCCACGTCACGACACATTAGACTCATTTAAGGATTTAAATATTTCTCTACAAGTATTTATTCAATATATTTTTCAATTGCTTTGTTGATTTAATTATCAATATATGATTTTTACGTTTTTAAATAAAAATAATTTTTTTTTTTTTTAAATTCTCAGAATATTTTTAAAATTCACCCAAAGCAAGATAATAAAGCCGCTAAGACGTAATATGTTTACTGAATGTGAGACAATATGAATAAATGAAAACAATAAAAGGATAGGAATGAAGACGACATAAGATAACGATTGACATTGCATTTAAATTTTTGAACATCAAATTTGACTGGAAAGTAAAAAGCCAGAAGATAGTTCCACAAGCAAGAAGAAACTGTTAGTATAGAACTTACGGTTGCATCTAGGCATTTCAACTGAAAAATGATGAGACCTTCTCGTCAATCTAGAACTGCGCTTAATTTCATAAAGTCTAGGTATCACAGAGGAAAATTCTTCAGAACAATTACTATGAAAGTATTTATAGAAAAGGCACAAGGTATCTATGTTTCGGTGGTGGAGAAATGATTGAAACCAATATGCCAGAATAGGACCAATAACACTGCACGTTCTTATATGGCTTTTATCAAGAATATCTAAATACATAGAAGGTTTGTAACTTTTTTCTTATATATTTCATGTGACATTTTTAATTGCTCAATTTTTTTCTTATCCACCAAAGGGAAAAATGGTTATATATTTAT